AAGCAACAAGATTAGAAACTCACCTGAATCAACCACTCCGATGAAACCACCGCCGAACCAATTTTGCGCGCCTTTTCAACCAAACTGGCAGTTGCGGAATGATCCGTGAGTAATATATCGAGTTTTCCTTCTGATAATAAGATAGATCTAACACAAAAGGGTACAGTCTGATTTAAACATTACCGCACCTTCGTTAGGCATTTCCGAGACGACTTCACCTCCAAGCTGTGGCACCATTGGAACCCAGATCTGCTCAAATGACATAGATTTCTTGCTCGGAGGTATCACGTTCGAGTGCACCATCACTCGTTTATTTCGTAATAGAACACCACGTTGCTTAGGCCTGCGTAAAAGCATAGAAGTACAACAGAGCTGCTACAAAATGGGCCTGTAAAACTCACAAAGGATATTCACGATCGTCGAGGATTGACACACCGGAAGGGAGAAGATACGACTTATAATCCACAAGTTTTTTCTAAAAAATACCGTTTAAATGAAATATGCAGTTCTCTCACACAATTTACCTCATCTAAGCACTTATAAATCCATTCGTGAGATACGCATGGCATGGCGCGAACGAGGGCAGCAAGATACTTGTGCGTTCGGTAATGTGTATCGGAGATAAGAAATCTTTCCATTTCTGGATGCTCATCGACTTCCTAAAATCAAATTCTTCAGAAGTAGAAATTTCCACGAGGATCAAATAGAATAGAAACCAGTTTAAAGTTATCTCATCCTTGACTATTTTAATGAGATATTGCGTTTTCAAAGAGCTTTATTTTCGATTCATTTATTCTGTGATCTGTTCAAAATGGATCCTACCTTCATATCATCTACAACTAATCCTCCATGTGATGAAATGAAATCTGTCATAAACTTCTTCTTAAATCCTGTATCGATATTTGGGCGATTTGCTGACGTTAATATGAACAGCTTTCCCGCGAATATTTGCTCCTCGCTTGATTCAGGGGCGCTCTCACTAGCATCTTAAAGACATTATGAGTCCCATATATTAGAGAATATGAATAAAAAAGAACAAACCTTCGTCGGCCTCTTCGGTTTTGGATGAAACCTGTGCTGTACTTTCACCTTTCTTACGTCCGCGACCGCCTACAAAATCAGAATTAAGCTCCAAATCTCAGTGATAAATATAATTGGAATAAAACCCAAATAATTACATGAATAAAGGAAATGTGGGGTTTCCAAGATCTCACCCAGAAGTTGGATAAATAGAGCTCCAACTCCGATCACCTTTGCTATTGAAACGAGGAAAAAGAAGGATTTTACCTATGAGATCTTAAGGGTCCAGGATGCCTCAGACACTAATTTACTTGGCTCAAATCAGTATGAAGCGACAGAATTTATGGAAGAAAATCTGCTGAATTCATTAATATTAAAAACAAACCAGTACTTATAGTGTGGATATTAGAGAGGTTGCAAAATTTTTCCAACAATATCCCGAAAAATAAAGTACCTAGATGCAGTAGGCTGACGCTTTTAGATCAAAAACCAGCTCTGAAATTTTGCAAAGTGTAAAGTGTGGAAATCAAGCTTTACCTAATTT